CAACAGGGAGATTGTGGGAAAGATGGTGTTTCCCAACGATCATAGTTAACAGAATGGGTGATTTGCCGCTGCTCTTAAGTAGAGGGGCTCAATTGAACCTTCTGCCCATCATGATGAGGTAGAAGTCGTCTCACACCGTACATTTATTTTCTCTAATCGGAGTACGTAATAATTATTCATTTTATTGTTTCTCTGTGCACTGCGATATTAATCAGGTAGGGAAATAGCATTGCAATATCTGGGAAATGACACATATAAATACCACATTGCCTCTCTTGGATTTCCATAGAAATTAATTGCTTTCTGATTCAGAATTCAATGGCTCGGTTTATCTTTCTTTTCCTTGCCTTTCTCATTCTGATCACTAATGTTACCATTATTAGCATTTGCAATGGCAACTCTATTCATGCGGTCTGCATTGAGAGCGAGAAACAAGCCCTTTTGAAGTTCAAGCAAGGTATCGTGGATCGCACCAACCGATTGGCCTTTTGGGTTTCCAATGGAGATTGTTGTAGATGGACGGGAATTGTCTGCGACAACATGACTGGTCACGTCATTGAACTCCACCTCAGAACTAATCCTACATGGGAGGTCGATTATGAGGTTGATGAGGCTGATGAGAGATCAATGCTGGGTGGTAAGATAAGTCCTTCTCTGCTCCATTTGAAGCATTTGTGTTATTTGGATCTCAGCAACAATGATTTTGGAGGAATTCACATTCCCAAGTTTTTTTGGTTCTTTGGGAAGTTTACGATCCCTTAACCTCTCCTAGGCAAATTTTGGAGGGAAGGTTCCTCACCATCTTGGGAATCTCTTTAATCTGAAATACCTTAATCTTGGGAATAATTATTATCACGTGTACGCTGAGAATCTCCACTGGTTGTCTCGTCTTTCTTCATTAGAGTCTCTTGATTTGAGTTCTGTGAGCCTTAGCCAAGCCTCCAATTGGTTTCAAGCATTAAGGGTTGGTTTGGTTCAGCTTCTTGAAGTTTCAATTTTTTTATACTATTTATATTTTATAAATTTAATTTTCTTTCGTAAAAACTTATATTTTAATTTTTTTTAATCTTAAAAAAATCTTAAACAGTAAAAACTCAAAAGTTTTAAATCTCTTACTTTTTATAAATTTGTTTTTACTCAATTTTTCTTATTTTTAAAAGTAATTTTTAAATTTTTTTTCAGTAAAAATTTAAATCTATCACTCATAAACAATACAAAAAAAGTAAAAGTTTCAAGAAGCAAACAGGCTTTAAATACACTTCCTTCTCTGGTAGAATTACACTTGTCATACTGTCAGTTTCCTTATCAGCTTTATCCCATTGCAAGTGTAAATTTATCATCTCTTGTTACCCTTTCTCTTTCTCAAAATTCTTTCCAAAATTTGTCAGTGATCAATTGGGTTTTTGGTCTCAAGAACCTAATTTCCCTTAATCCATGCGATAATGTTGTTGAGGGTCCAATCCCTTATGGTCTTTATTTAATTCATAGAAGATCAAAATACATATAATTTTGAAGTCAAATAAAAATGAATTGATATATACTTACCATACAGAAAGTCAAACACACTTTTTGATTACATGTAGAGATTAAGCATCATAATCGTTAGAGACAGTTAGAGATTTAAGGGGAGATAGACCTGGTAAACGGGTGGCTTGGGTCGGATTAAGGTCAAGTCAGAACGGGTAACGGGTCAAGACGGGTTGGGTTAAAACGGGTCACGGGTCAATAAAGGGAGACCTTAACTCGCCCATCACGGGTCACGGATCAACCCACGGGTTGACCCAATTAAATTTTTCTTCTTTTTTTTTTCTCTATAATTTGTACCTATTATCATTTAAAGAAAATTATTCAAAAGATTTAAAAAAGAAATTTAACATCTTATAAAAATAAATTTTTTTATT